TTACTACAATGCAAAATCCTTCATAGAGTACACTATACAGGTCAACGGATGTTCAAGATGAGTTTTGCATCATCTAATGTTTGCTCACAGTGTACAGACAATATTCCTGACAATCACATCCAAGCATTTTGGTTCTGTCCACCTGTTCAGAGGTTTTGGTGCCGGATATGTGAAGACTTATCAAAGTGTCTGAGATGTAATATTCCACTCTCTCCGTCAGTTTGCTTATTGGGCCACTTAGATGATGTCACCTTGGAGACAAAGTCAATTCACATGATTTTTACTGCTTTATGTATAGCAAAAAAAAAAAACTATACTCATAAATTGGAAAAATAAAAATACTCTTAGTATTAAACAGTATAAAGACCTTTTGTTAGATTACATCAATCTTGAGATAGCCTGTACCTCCACATCAGAACAATATCTCTGGGCTTCTTTGATTGGCTTCAACCCATGGTGGAGGTGGGTAAACCCCTTTGATTTCGTCCCGTGGGGCATTGTGGTTGATGTGGGTGGGAATGGGGGCTGGGGGCATGGGGGGGTTGTGGGCCCGGGGCAATGGCGCTCAACTGGGGAGATGGCTTTGGTGGTTCTGGACGTTGACCTCTGCTGGTCGCATGCAGGCCTCTGGGCGGTCTGTGCCGGCAGGCGCAGGTTGCTGACCTCGTGGCCTGGCTGCTCCTGGGTGGGTTTGGGGTGGTTGCGGGTTCGGGGTTCTGGGGGAGTGTTGCTCCCGGGCTGGGGTCCTGGCTTAATCCGGGGGTCTCGGGTCTTGGCGGGTATGTTGTCAGGGTCTTGGGCCGGTACATGCGCCAACACCCGGCCCTGGCCTGGGGGCCCTCGTGCGCTGGTGGGCTTTGGGGCCTCTGCCATGGGGGAGGGGGGGATGGGTGGACTAAGCCTGGGTGTCTTCCTGCCTGGCTGTGGCTGCAGTCTGGTGCTTGGCTGGGGTTCTGGGCTGTGGGGGGGGGCTTTTGCTCGGGTGGCTCTGCACTGCTGGCCCGGGGGTGTCTGGGCGTGTTAGGCATGTGCCCTCCCTTGCATGGGGTGCTCTCATTGTGGGTGTTGCTGTGGTGGACTGGTCGGTCCTTTTGTGGGGGTGGGGGTGCGCTCCCAGTCATTGTGGTGCACTGGCTGCGGCTGTTCAGGCACTCCTGGCTGATTATCGCTGCTGGAGTTTGGTGGCTTCTTTGGTTGGGGGGCTGGGTGTTGAGCTGGGGGTGCATGGGTGGCATGCCGGGGCTTCTCCGGGCCTGTGGTGTGGGGCTTTAGGGATGTATTGGTGCGCTGGGCCGGCCTTACTCGGCTGCTGCTCCCTCCTGCTCTGGCCCTCGGCCTGGGGCTGGCTTGAGGTCACTGTTGGGCAGGTGGGGCGCATGGACGGCCCAACAGAGACTCTGTTGGGCTGTCTCTGTGTGCCTGTTTGTCTCAGGTTGGGTTTTGGGTGGCCCCCCTCTCTTGGACCAGTTTTGGCCCCCCATTTGGTGGGTCATGCTCCCCTCCGGTGGTGGGCCCCCCTGCCGCCGGTGCATTGGCGGCTCTCAGCAGCTGGGGCTGGGTGGTGGGGTGTGTGCGGGCCGGCCCTGGTGGCTGCCTGTGGGGGCCTGGGTGCCCTGGCTCTGTCGAACGGGGTGGTATGACCTCGGGGCTTGGTGTCCATGGCCGGATCCACTCTGGAGGGGCGGGTTGCCAGCGGGGCCTGTTGACTCGTTGCTACGGCCTCCTGGGGGTTTCTGCATTGTGGTTGCTGGGGATCGCCCAGGGCTTTCCTTTGCTTCTCTCTCTGGGGGGTGCGGGTGTCCCTGTTGGAAGACTACTGGAGTTCCGGGCTTGTGGGCCGCTGTGTGTCTGTGGTTCCGGTCTTCCCTGTGTTACCTTCGTGTCCTGTGGGGACGGGTTTATGGGTCCCCACATCCACTATTGAACATTTTTATGGAGATACCTTATAGTGATAAGCATGCTCACACAGGTGTTTAGATTCAGGTGTTTATCAGATACACACTCAGTTGGGTTGTGGTGGCCATCAAATATATATTGTATTACCATGTACTGTATAAAATACTTTCTAATGATGTTATAACTATCATTATATAAGTTGAATGTTGTTGTGGTTTCTTGGTTTTGTCGTTTTTTTTCTCTTTCCGCAGGTCTAGAGTCAGACTTCAATTATGTTGATTTGTGTTATAATGATAATAATAATAATAATAATAATAATAATAATAACTTTTATTTATAATGCACTTTACATTCACAGTGAATCTCAAAGTGCTACAAAGAGTGAACATCAGATAGCAGCAGGATAAAAGCAACCATAAAAGCAACCGAGAGCAAAACAACAGCATAGCAATGGAATGAGACCCCGTAGTTGCTGATAATACACCCAAGTGGTACCATGTACAAAATGAAAAGAAGGGGTCCCAGGACTGATCCCTGGGGCACACCACAAGAAACAGGATGGCTCAATGACTTGGCACGCCCAATGGAGACAAACTCTGTTCTGTCCGTCAGGTATGATCAGAACATCTCCAGGGCAGTGCCAGTGAGCCCTGCAAAATGCTGTAAACGGTGGAGTAGGATGTAATGATCCACCGTGTCAAAGGCAGCTGAAAGATCGAGAAGAATAAGGAGAGAAGAGGAATCACGATCAGCATTGATCAACAGGTCATTTGTGACCCGGATCAGAGCTGTTTCAGTGCTATGAGCAGTACGGAAACCTGATAGAAATTTGTCCAGTATCCTATTGTCATGTAGATGTTCTTGTAGATGAACTGAGACTAATTTATCCATAACTTTAGTGATGAAGGGAAGGTTGGAAATGGGTCTGTAGTTTGCCAAGTCCCGAGGATCAAGGGTAGGTTTTTTGAGAAGTGGTTTAATTATGGCTGATTTCAGGGCAGGGGGAATATGACCAGATTGAAGGGATTGATTAACTATGGTGGTGATAAGAGGACTGAGAAAGGCAATATTAGCCTTGACTAGGGCTGGTGGGAAGGGATCAAGAGCACATGTGGAGAATTTCATAGCCATGACAGTGGCTTCAACTTCCTTCACACAGACCTCTGGGAAAGTGTTCTCTTTATCTCTCTCTCTCTCTCCTCTATTCCTATCTCCTTCTTTACATTTTAACTCTTCTCTCACTTTTCTGCTTTGTTATCTTCTTTGCTTTCCGTCCCCATGTCCATTACATTTGAAACAAACCCAAAGCATATTCTAATAAAATTTAATTTATATATCAAGCAGAGCATTAAGGCCAGCCATAATGCTCTGCTTCACATCCTCCAAAAGTCACTCTATGCTGTCCCCCACAATTACAACATTTATCTTGAACATTGTCACCACACTCCTCATATCTATGATCACCCCCACATCTTGGACACCTTTGCTGTCCCTGACACACAGCTGCAATGTGTCCATATCTCTGACACTTATAACACCTGAGCGGGGGAGGGACATGAGGCCTAACTGGAAAGCTCATGAACCCGATCTTAACCTTCTCTGGAAGTACATGGTTTTGAAATTCAATCATTATCGACAGGCTTTCAGTTCTTTCTCCATTTATTGTTCTCAATATTCTTTAATCAATAATCTGATCTGATTCACCTCTGCACCCTGAATGCTCTTTTTAAGCTTTTCTAGATCTTCATTTACTGGTATTCCAGTTATCACGCCCCTCGTTACTTTCTTCTCTCCTAAAATCCTTTTCTCTCACATTTTTTCTACAAATACTTTCACTATTCAGTGCTTTATTTTTCTGTTCTTCAGTTTTACAAATGACCAGTTTACTCCCATCTCTAAGTGTTTTTGCAAAAGAAATATCTCCAATCTTCTTTTTGAGTTCTTTTGATAATGCAATTGGACCCAGCTGTATGTTGTTGTCTTCTTCTTCTTTAAATTTCAGAATAACTTTAATTTCCTCTTTAACAATCTTTTTGCGTACCACAGGAGTCCCTTCATCTGAACTATTCTCTTCCAAAGTCCTTTTACTAACCTGTGTCCCTACCAAACAATCATTTAAATCCATTTCCTCATCATCTTCCTCAACTTGAGCTGCCATTCTGGTCCAGTCACAAACCAGTTCATGCCAAACCGCTTGTTTCTTTTCTTCCAACACTCTTTCTTCAATGAAAAATCAGCCACTTTCTTCAAAACGTTCTCACCCACTTCCAGCAAGCCGCACCCTCGGCAGTCCACGGCTCCCCCTTTTTCAGACTCTTAGCAGCATGTTTGATGAAGTTCACCCAGACAGGCTCCACTCATGGCTGGCTCGAGGCACGGCACAGCGACTGCACTTTGTCACGTGGCCGCGGCCCGCACTCCTCAGTGGAACACTGGAGCAGAAAGCAACTGAGACACCTGAACCAAACTGAAGCCATTGAATGACACCTGGGGAAACCTGTGCAGGTGCTTTGAGTTTAGTAGATGATCAGTGTCACACTCAGTTTAAACATTCATGCCCTGCAACATTTGGACTGATGTCTTCACAGTATTCTGATTTTTTTTAAATCCTGTTTTCTTGGGTTTCATGAGCTGGAAACTCAAATTATGTAAAAATAAACAAATAAATACTTGAAATTGTTTAAATTGTAGGCCATGATTCTATCATCTATCAAAGATTAACTTTTTGAATTGAATTATGGAAGTTAAACAACTTTTCCATCATAGTCTATTTTTTTGGAAAGGGTCTTATACATATATGTACATGTATAAATGATTGTTATTTTAATCCGGTATAATTGAACTGTATAAAACGCACAATGGAAGTGAGCTGACCCCGGCAGTTGGGACAGGACTGAGGGTCTGAGCTGGGATTAAGTCCAAGGACTCAGTCAGACTGAGCTCAGAACAAAAGGGACACGTGCTGTTTGTTTATTAACAATAAGAAAAGTCACAAACAACAACAAAGTTCTTTCCAGGTGCCCCGCCCCCACCCCACCCTGTGGGAGGCCGCTGGAGGGAGGAGGGGGAGGAGGGGGAGGACTTCACGTCCAGGACTCGGGGACACACGGCTCAGAACTCCGTCACCTCCGGGACCGAGCAGAACTCCGCTGTACCCCGTCAGTGCACACGCCTGTCCTCCCCAGGACCAGCAGGTCTTCTGTCTGCCCCCCCAGCTCCACCATTCCCTCCCGGACCGAGCGGACAGGTGGACAGAGGATGAGTTACGGAGCGGCGGTTCGGCTGCTGTGGCCGCTGTTGGTGAGCTGCTGCAGGCTCGGGTGGAGCCAGGAGCTGGCGGCCAGCGGCCTGCACGGCTACAGCCTCCACCCGCCCTACTTCAACCTGGCGGAGGGAACCAAGATCAGGGCCACGGCCACCTGCGGGGAGGACGAGTCCGGCCGGAGCCTGCGGGACCTGTACTGTAAACTGGTGGGAGGCCCGGTGTCCGGGGACCCGAGCCAGACCATCCAGGTGAGGGCAAGCTCCTTATCTTCTGTCCCTGGACTCAAGGACCAACTACACTAGTTTTATTAACGCTCGCATTTGTGCATCTGTTAGCAAAATATCTCATGAAGCGGGTCAGTTGTAAAGAAACTTCCAGAAAGTATCCATTAGACGGAGTCCATGTTGACGGCCAGCACCGCTACCGCACACGCACACGCACACGCACACACAGTCAGTGAAAGTGAGGGCAGCTTGGATGTGGTGGTAGCTGAGAGTGGTTCCAGGATGTGTTCAGAGCTGCAGCTCCACATGAAGCAGGGTAGCTGCTTCCTGTTGGGACACCTGCAGCCCAGCTGCTGTCTGTCTGCCCATTAATGGGACATCCCACAACCAGTTTCCATCAGAACCAGTGAAACAGATCAACGTGAAAGTAAAGGATTCATCTTCACTTCATGGGTCAGAGTGAAAGAACTGCCAGCAGTCGGTGCAGAGGAGCAGTTTAGAGCAAAGATGGCCTCACACACACACACACATGTGGCATTTACAACAACAGCTATTCAGAAAGTATCTTGCAGTGTATCACTGTATTCTAACATGTGAACTATGCAGTTAATTCACTTTCTTTTTTACCCTTTATTTTTGACACTACCTGTATAAATAAAGGGTAAATGGAAAAAAAAGTGTTCTAAGTAATTGTTTTCTATGAAGTGGAAGAGGTTTACCGTGACACGAACACTTGGATCATCTGTGGGAGTTGCAGCAACAAAGTGATGTCAGTGTTTCTGTACAAACATCATTTAGAGAGAAGGCAACACAGCATGACTTCTAAACGCTCATTCATACTCTGACACGTTAAGAAATCTCATCTATGTTCATGTGTGACCAAAGTGTCATGGCTTTGCTCTCACAAGCTCTCCAAGATGTCCTTCTGCGCACAAGCTTCTGGCAGAACTTTTCCTTGCAAGGTTTGCTCCAGCATGTGTGACTGATCAGAACTTTGTAATGGTGTTTGTGTGGAAAAGACTGAAGTACACAGCTCTGCTGAGGAGCACCTGATCCAAGCTATTTGAAAATATCTTTACAATTGTTCCAACAAAACTCATAAAGATAATCCAATAAATCAAATCAATAAGAGAGTCAAAGGACCCGCAAAAGGATCTAGCACAGTTTTTGGGCGACCGAGCCGAGACACAGGAGGTTCTGTGGCTGTGCAGAGGGAGTGCACCTCGGCCGGGCAGCATAGGGACACGTACATCGGAGACAGTCTCTTCAACACACATTTGCAAATTAGCGCTTCTCCTCTGTTAACAACACAAACACCAGATCTTCCTTCTCCAACTCCTCCATCATGAACAGAAGTAAACATTGTGCCAGCCTTGCTGTCTCTTGGTTCTGTGTGTGAAGTGTGCTACACACTCACCACTTTCCTTAAGTGGAACATCTCACAACTACAGGGATGTGATCAAAAAACTGTTCTGGAAACATGGATGGCTTGTCTTAAAACAATGTGAACATTTCCCATGGGTTGGTGCACACACTTTATTTACTTTGATTGACATTGTCATCAGTTTGACATGTTCTGCTTATTTACACAGAATGATGTGCTTCTTTAAAGACAAGCAGCAGCAGCAGTTAGCTGTAACACTTCTGGTACTGCTTGGGTTACTTTGAATGGGAGCATGTGATATTTCCATTGTATTTACAGCACAATTCATTTCAGTTCATTTATATACAGTTGCACCAATTCACAACAAAGTTGTCTCAGGGCACTTTACAGGAACATTCACATACCATATTTTCCTGTCGCACGTCCTATAAGTCGCATCAGTCCATATTTGTCTAATAAACTGGAAAAATCCATAAATATGTCACTTCGCTGTATACGTCGCATCTATTATGCGTCACCGCTGACGCGTTGCGTTTGTTACGTGTCACCGCTGACAACCCGGAAATGTGGACCGTTGTTGTGCCAAAAATGGAATGGCATGAACGGGAGCGTGCACGGGAGGACTTTAACAAGAATTTAACAAGATTAACACTTAAAAACAATTATTTGTGTGCTAGAAATTATATTAAATGTGTGTTTCAGTCTAACGTTTGCTAAATAATGCACTTTGATGGTCAGATCAGCTGTATTTCAAAACCCGATACATGGAGGTAAACGCGTGCACGTGACTAGTAACTGTACAAAAATGAACAAGATAAACACATAAACAATTGTTTGTTTGCTCATAATTATAGCAAAGGTGTATCTCAGTGTAACGTTTGCTTAATAAATGCACGTTAATGGTCAAATTAGCTGCATTTCGCCGGGGCGGTGCAGCTGTTTAATTTGCCTCAAGCCGTGCGCAGAAAGAAAGTGGTTATAATGTGGCAGGCCGCTTGTGTCATTAATAGCTGGTGAAGATTCTCAGTCATCCAGGACATGGTAAATTCAAAAAAGTTCAAGAAAAAAAACATCCATCCATTATCTTTTACCCGCTTCTTCCATTTTCGGTCATTGGGGTCGCTGGTGCCCATGTCCAGCAATCACTGTGCGAGGGGTGGTGTACACCCTGGACAGGTCTCCAGTCCATCACAGGGACACATCGAGACAAACGAGACAAACAACCATTCACTCTCTCTCTCACACCTAGGGACAATTTAGAGTTACCACTCAGCCTAACATGCATGTTTTTGGTATGTGGGAGGAAACTGGAGTACCCGTAGAAAACCCACGCATGCACGGAGAGAACATGCAAACTCCACCCAGAAAGCCCCCTGGACTGGGATTTGAACCAGGGACCTGTACGATGAGAGGCAGCAGCTCTACCAGTTGTGCCACCGTGCTGCCCAAGAAAAAAACAATAAAGTATAAAATAAAGTCCAGTTATTTTTGTCTTGAACTTTTTTGAATTTGTCATTATAGCTATGTTTACCTATTACATGATATAAAAACATGCCATACAGCTATTACTACTCTGCTGCCATCAAGTGGCTGAAATTGGTACTGCTCAAATTTTTTTTCAGTCAGAATGAATGAAATCGGGCATCCATCCATCCATCCATCCATCCATTTTCTTCCGCTTATCCGGGGTCGGGTCGCGGAAGTAGCTGCTTAAGTAGGGAGGCCCAGACTCTCCCCAGCCACTTGGGCCAGCTCTTCCAGGGGAATCCCGAGGCGTTCCCAGGCCAGCCGCGAAACACAGTCCCTCCAGCGTGTCCTGGGTCTTCCTCTGGGCCTCCTTCCGGTGGGACGTGTCTGGAACACCTCACCAGGGAGGCGTCCAGGAGGCATCCTAGACAGATGCCCAAGCCACCTCAATTGGCTCCTCTCAACGTGGAGAAGCAGCGGCTCTACTCTTGAGTCCCTCCCGGATGATCGAGCTTCTCACCCTATCTCTAAGGGAGAGCCCAGACACCATGTTGAGAAAACTCATTTCGGCCGCTTGTATTCGAGATCTCGTTCTTTCGGTCACAACCCAAAGCTCGTGACCATAGATGAGGGTAGGAATGTAGATCGATCGGTAAATTGAGAGCTTTGCCTTTTGACTCGGCTCTCTCTTCACCACGACAGACCTGTACAGTGCCTGCTTCACTGCAGACGCTGCACCTATCCGCCTATCGATCTCACGCTCCATTTTTCCCTCATTCGTGAACAAGACCCCAAGATACTTGAACCCCTCCACTTGGAGTAGGACCTCCTCCCTGACCCAGAGAGGGCACTCTACCCTTTTCCGGCTCAAGACCATGGCCTCGGATTTGGAGGAACTGATCCTCATCCCGGCCGCGTCGCATTCAGCTGTGAACTGCTCCGCAAAAGCTGTAGATCACGATCTGATGAAGCCAATAAGACCACATCATCTGCAAAAAACAGAGATGCAATCCTAAGGCCACCAAAACGGATCCCCTCAACACCTTGGCTGCGCCTAGAAATTCTGTCCATAAAAGTTATGAACAGAATCGGTGACAAAGGGCAACCTCGGCGGAGTCCAACTCCCTCCTGGAACAAGCCCGATTTACTGCTGGCGATGCGGACCAGGCTCTGACACCGGTCATACAGGGACCTAACAGTCCATATGAAAGGGCCCGGTACCCCATACTCCCAGAGTATCCCCCACAGGGTTCCCCGAGGGACGCGGTCGAACGCCTTCTCTAAGTCCACAAAGCACATGTAGACTGGTTGGGCAAACTCCCACGCACCCTCCAGGACCCTACTGAGAGTGTAGAGCTGGTCCAGTGTTCCACGGCCAGGACGAAAACCGCACTGCTCCTCCTGAATCAGAGGTTCGACTATCCAACAGACCCTCCTCTCCAGAACCCCCGAATAGACCTTACCAGGGAGGCTTAAAAGCGTGATTCCCCTGTAGTTGGAACACACTCTACGGTCCCCCTTTTTGAATAGGGGGACCACCACCCCGGTCTGCCAATCCAGGGGAACTTCCCTCGATGTCCACGCAATATTGCAGAGTCGCGTAAGCCAACACAACCCTACAACATCCAGAGCCTTAAGGAACTCCGGGCGAATCTCATCCACCCCTGCATCCCTGGCACGAGGAGCTTTTTAACCACCTCGGTGACCTCAGCACCAGAGATTGGATGGCCCGACCCAGAGTCCCCAGGCTCCGCTTCCTCAGTGGAAGACGTGCCGGTGGGATTGAGGAGGTCTTCAAAGTATTCCGCCCACCGACCCAGAACATCCCAAGTTGAGGTCAGCAGCACACCACCTCAACTATAAACAGTGTTGGTGGCGTACCGCTTTCCACCCCGAGACTCCGGATGGTGGACCAGAATCGCCTGGAAGCCGTGCGGAAGTCATTCTCCATGGCCTCTCCGAACTCCTCCCATGCCCGAGTTCCGGGGTCCCACAGGCCAAAAAGGCCCGATAGGACTCCTTCTTCAGCCTGACAGCATCCCTCACCGACGGTGTCCACCATCGGGTTCGAGGGTTGCCGCCACGACGGGCACCGACAACCTTGCGGCCGCAGCTCCGGTAAGCCGCCTCGACAATAGAGGCACGAAACATCGTCTCCTCAGACTCAATGTCCCCCATCTCCCTCGGAACATGTTCCAAAATCTCCCAGAGGTGTGAGTTAAAACTCTGTCTCACAGGAGACTCTGCCAGACGTTCCAAGCAAACCGTCATAATACGTTTAGGGCTGCTAGGTCTGACCGGCATCCTCCCCCACCATCTGAGCCAACTCACCACCAGGTAGTGATCAGTGGACAGCTCCGCCCCTCTCTTCACCCGGGTGTCCAAGACATGTGGCCGCAGATCAGATGAGACCATGACAAAGTCGATCATCAAACTGCAGCCTAGGGTGTCCTGGTGCCAAGAGCACATATGGACACCTTATGCTTGAACAAGGTGTTCGTTATTGACAATCCATGACGAGCACAGAAGTCCAACAACTGAACACCACTCGGGTTCAGATCAGGGGGGCCGTTCCTCCCAATCACACCCCTCCAGGTCTCACTGTCATTGCCCACATGAGCATTGAAGTCCCCCAGTAGAACAAGGGAGTGTCCAGGAAGTGCACTTTCCAGTACCCCCTCTAAGGACTCCAAAAAGGGTGGATAATCTGAACTGCCGTTTGGTGCATAAGCACAAATGACAGTCAGAACCCGTCCCCCCACACGTAGGCGGAGGGAGGCCACCCTCTCATTCACCGGGGTGAACCCCAAAACACAGGCACCAAGTTGGGGGGCAATAAGTATGCCCACTCCTGCTCGGCGCCTCTCACCAGGGGTAACTCCAGAGTGGAAGAGTGTCCAGCCCCTCTCAAGGAAACTGGTTCCAGAGCCAGAGCCATGCATAGAGGTGAGTCAGACTATTTCTAGTTGGAACCTCTCAGCCTCACACACCAGCTCAGGCTCCTTCCCCACCAGTGAGGTGACATTCCACATCCCATTAGCCAGTTTCTGTAGCCGAGGATCAGACCGCCAGGGTCCCCGCCCTCAGCCACCACCCATCCCACATTGCACCCGACCCCTTTGGCCCCTCCCACAGGTGGTGAGCCCATGGGAAGGGGGACCCACATCTCCTCTTCGGGCTGTGCCCGGCCGAGCTCCATGGGTAAAAGCCCGGCCACCAGGCGCTCGCCCGCATGCCCCACCTCCAGGCCTGGCTCCAGAGTGGGGCCCCGGTGACCCATGTCCGGGCAAGGGAACATTAAGTCCATTTATTTTTCTCTTCATCGGGGTCTTTGGGCTGCACTTTGTCTGGTCCCTCACCTAAGACCTGTCTGCCATGGGTGACCCTACTAGGGGCGTAAAGCCACTGAGAGCATAGCTCCTAGGATCATTGGGACACTCAAACCCCTCCACCACGGTAAGGTGGCAGCCCAGGGAGGGGGAAAATTGGGCATATCTCAGCCAAAACATGGTTTGTAAATATGGGAAAAAAATCTATAAATATGTCACTTTGGCCTATAAGTCGCAGGGCATGTAAATTATGCAAAAAAAACTGTGATTTATATGCCAGAAAATATGGTACATAGAAAAGCCCATTAGTAAAATTCTTTATCTAAGGAAGCCAGCAGACACATTGAATCTTCACTTTGTCACAGTCTCTTGTCCTGAGCAAGCACAATTGCAACAGTGGAAAGGAAAAACTCCCTTTTAAAAAGAAGATAATTATATTATCTTTATTTAGATTATTTAGATGTGCTTAAATTTAGATTTATTAATATGTGAAACTGACAACAGTGTAAAGGTTTAAGAACGAGCAGTTGCATGAAGTGCTGTGAGATGTTCAAGATGGGAGTTTTAGGGTTCTTCTCATCTCAGATGGCAGCCTGAGCATTTCCCAGCATTTAGAGTAAAGCAGAACAGACAAGGTCAGCAGTGGACCTGGATCTCTGTTTTATGCACTGCTTCATTTGTAGGACTTGGCAGCTCTCAGCACAAGACACTTATATAAGGACATGACACATTTCACTGAACAGGCAGCACAGAAACCTTCTCTAAGATGAGGTTTTATAGAGGTGCTGAGTTTGGAAGGCTGTAAAAACCCATCAGAGGTTCTGACGCTCTGGTTTAGTTGTTAAAGTTATGGCAGTTTCACAGGTTAAGTAACAAAGCATCCCACTCACTCAGAGACAAGATCAAAACTAATTAGGGGTGCACCGATTTCAATTTTCAGGCCGATCACCGATTTTTTGAAAGTCTGAACTGCCGATTCCGATTTTGGCCGATACCGATTTTTTTTTTTT